TGTCCTATGTGTTAAGGGTTATCTTCACAAAAGAAGAACTTACTAATAACTCTTAGTATAATTATAATATTAGCTTTAGCAATCTTCACTCAATATCTTACTACATATATTTTGTAAGAGGTTATGTTTTCCTGCATATCTACTGGAATAATTTGTAGTTTTGTTGATGTAGAGTCCTGTGAGTTTTATGGTAAATACTAGATAAAAGTCCGTTTATAAATTAGTATTAAACTAATTTGCTGGCATAATCGAATGTGTCTTTTAAAATTAGTTTGCAAAATTTCAGTCGTATGAAGATATTGATTACCAGATTAATATGTTAATTGTAAATAACCTACATAAAACAGGTGATAGAAATCATCAATGTAGATTAAAAGAGCGTGGTAAAAATGTTGGCCTGATCACGTGTGTATGTACGATATTTGGTTGATATGAGTGAACAAAACTTAATAAACCTAATCTTCACCAGCGATTTATTGCTAAAACATAATGAAAATGTTCTATTTTTAAAGCGAATGATAACGACCAAATTTTCCATCATATTATCATAGAAAAAAAGTTCTTGCTAAACGCAACTTGTGGAGATTATATATTATTGAGAGATTCTTAGAGCATACAATTTTATAATTTGCTTGAAAGCTGGAAAACAATTAGCGAACAAAACATTATTTAATAAAATTCTTTTAATTTGACCTAAAAAATCGAAATTACTCAATAGCCTGGCTTGTAATTTATATATAATCGTTAGATAACATCTTCATCGACTTACAAGTAAACACTCTTGTTGTGTTTTTGTTTTTAGTAATATATCATGGTACGTCAGCAATAATTCAACATACTGTTGGACTGATATACAGGTTTTACCTAACAGCACAACCTATGTATAAATAAATATATTATATCGGTGGATGTACTTCTTGTTTTTGTTAACTAGAAGGCGAATTATTGGTTTCTTGTTACATTCATTACTTTTTATGTATTTTGATTTATTTAGTCATGTGAGATTTTCTTGTAAAGGTCACATCTTGTTGATGATGTCATAGCATGTGGGTGTATGGAACAATGCATGTCATATTTTTGTGATAAATATAATCATTCAATTCGTTTGGTAGTCTGACGAACCTTTACCTTTTAAATTTCATAAAAATAATCGCATTTTTATTACAATGCTCTCGCCGGAATGCCGATGCATTTAGTTGTTGGCCTAGTTACATAAATTTCGAATACACAGTGAAGATTATTTACGTGAAAGACAAAAAAAGAGCAAAAGTTCGGCGTAATCTTGAAATTAAATGAAGCCGCATTTTTGTGCATAGTAATTATTATTATTGCCGGTGTAGTAATGCAGTTTAAAGTTGGAGACGACCGCGGAGCGAGACCATAAATATTCAGAGCATTCTCCAATGACACAATGGGATTTTCTTGTTGATGATGATGTCGGATGTGCAGCAGCGATGGTATATGGTAATTGCGTACATTTCATGCGGCTGGGATGGGATGTATTTTCGCTCGCCCAGCGAATGATTTATGATAAATTGTTGCGTGAAAGTATTCCTCCGCACACGGCGTTCCGCATTTATGTCATTTTATTGATACGGCAGAGTTGGCTGCCGTCACGACCGATGGGAGACCCCTTCCCTCCACCTCTGCCCCTTTGCATTCATGCCCTTTTCAGTACGGGGATCCGGTTACAATGAATGGGGTTTTACTGGGTAGTGGGGTGTAGGCTTGACGGTTTTAGGCCGCAGGACTGGAAAAGGAAGACTCTCCCATCGCATGTCATTCCAAGACTCCGGCCCTCTCAGTTTTGCCATAGCACGTGCTCTGCTCACTACGAATGCTACTAAATATATTATTGACTGACTCTCGACTCTTTCAAAATTCAAACGATTTGAATCGCAAAATATAAACGACATTGTTTCATAGCGGACGTTTAGGTATTTCTATTGCTAATTTATTTCAGTTGCAAACTTTACCAGCACACAATTCGCTTATATGCACACTTGCACAAACAAATTTCGAACTATATTCTACAGGTTGTTGTTTATATATTTATTCAACTCTAAACTTCACAAACATATATTTATATATATATATAACAACACCTTGTATAGTATGGCCTCAATCAGTCCAGATTTATTATACAGTGAAACTTCGCTTAACGAGCATAATCCCTTCGAAAATTTATATTTTTACTCGTATTTCTTAGAAACAATATAAAAAATGCTGATTTAGTTAATTTGTTAATGAGTTTTAGCTGAATTTCGTACTAAATATTAATTTAGTACATTAAGTAAAAATTTATTAAATAATGTTATAGTAAAATATAAACTCATCTTTCTTCTTGATGTAATTATTAATAACAAATATTTAATAATCATAATTTACACTCCAAAATGCAATAAAATTAATATTCCCTCTTTGACCCAAATGGTGACAAAATAAATATGTCTAAATTAAAAAAGAATAGAAACCCATATTTTCGTTTATTTCAAATAACATCTGTGCAATACGTTCGTCTTTCTGTTTGACAAAATGTTAAAAAATTTCTGAATAAAATAAATCATGTTTATTCTTCATGTTCTCTTTATTTCGATGATGAAATTAACAAAGTTAGAATTTTTGGATTTAGATCAAATATGTACCGTTATGTTCGATAACTTTTGTCCATTTCGAAGGCAATTTCATAATTTTGTTATTGAAGAAATCCTCGTCTCTATTGGTAAAAAACTTGACCAGCTCATTTTCATAAGCCTCTCTTGAGACCAGTTTTTTACAATCAAGAAAATTGGTGCCAGGTCTCGACTATACGGCGGGTGCGATATAACCTCCCATCCAAGATCTCGGAGCTTCTGACTCGTCTTTAAATATGTGTACACGCTTCCTATTAGCCAATTCTGGACGCTTCTCGTCAAGCGCCTGCTTCAACACAATTATTGAATTGCTTGAATGTATTCTAGTGAAATATTCTTGATAACGTTTTTATAACATTACAAACGTACATGGAAACAAATATGTTATCAGGAGGAGGAAATTCCAATAAATTTCTTCATTTAAATAAGGTAAAACTTCGTGGCGAGGGTCACTTAACTGAAATGTATACAAAATGTATTGTTCAAAATAAATGCGTTCGACAAGGCTAAATTTCACTTTAACTTAATTTGGATTACACTAAATTTATTTGTATTTAGTTATATTGTGATAATAAAATGAATTTAATATTTTTTATATTTAATTTTAGTTATATTTCTCTTTTTTCGCAAATGAAAATTAAAAATGTAAATTTTAATGTATACTTGTAATTCTTACAAGTTTATGGAAGATGATTTCACAATACATTATAATAGAAATAAACAAGTTGAATTGTAACTCGCGTGTCTTAGAAACGTAATAATGCGGTCATTATTTTAATATAAACTTATTGATATGTTTGATTTATTATCAATAAACGTATTTATTCATTGCGAATCCCATTCACTAAAGTCATACAGTTTTTTTGTTGTTTACTTTTAACAAAAATGGTTTACGTAAGAAAACGGCTCACGCATGTTCAACTTCACACAGACAGAAATCACGCAAACAGAAGCCGAGTGTTTTGTAAACATGATTTAAATATAAATGGCATACTAAATAATAATACTACAAAAGAATCACAATGTTACAAAAAAAGCTTATTATTGATTTTATTTGCTAGTGGATATGAAGAAATAATTGATTTCTCAATTTAATTTTAAAATCAAACAAATCAAAGTACAAATTTCAATGATTTATTTATGATCCTTTATTGTCAATTTGTATATTCAATTTAGTTAATTAATAAATTTTACTTAGTTACATAATATTACATATATTAAGCTTTCATTATTATGTAAATTTGTAAATCTTATGGATAAATACATGAATTTGAAATATCTCCATCTGTTGTTTGTGATAAACTTTTGCTATTTATATGTTTTGGTTTAATCCAAGAGTACCTTCATACTTGTTTCAATATAAAAGAAGTATGTTTTTAGATATGATCTAAATCTTACGAAAACATTACGAAATTTAAATTATTATTTTTAAAATTAATTAATTTATAAACTTCCGTTTGTTTTATGCCAATGAAGAAAACTTTTAATTAGCGGCAGCATAACTTTTTCTCAGTCATTATATCCAATTGTGTTAATTATTGTATTAATACTTTGTAACCCTCTGTGAATTAATAGTCCAACAATTACAGTATAGAATAATAGCTTTCTTTTAATTTTGTAACCATGGACTGAAGTCAACGAATCCGGTCCCACTTAATTAACATCCTGTTTTTCACAATTTTGCTTACTAATAGGATTATAACAATTTATAAAATATTTATGTTTGTTATCACTTTTTTCAATTTTTCATATTATATATAGTGCTTTAATAATTGTACAATTGCACAATACTAAAATTACTGTGTATAAACGCGTAATGCTTCAATCGATTTTATGTTATAAATTGTTTAGCATGTTTTATGATATAAAGAAATGCGCTTCTTGGTTAACAGATGTTTTCGTGGGAAGTTAAATAATCGTAGAGAAGTAATTATAAGGTGGTTTCGTAATGGTCGAAGAATGTTTTGGTGAAGGCCCCTTCGTATTCCGTTTGAACGACACCGGGACAGGACCACATTTGCTCACGCAGGTAAACCACGGGGCTGCAACACGCAACCGGAGACGTAGCTTCTGCAATAATCGAAAACATTAATCCACGCACCAAGAATACCGTGACCCTTCGCCCTCGACCATTCATTCATTCCGTCGCAAAGGCGATATCTAAATTGCAACTTCCTTCCTATTCCGTTCCGATGACGGCAGCAGCAAGACGGAAAAGGTTCATAATTAATTCCCGACGTAACGTTACGAGACATTAAAATTCTGGGATCGGAGCTTCATTAGTAACGAACACGCGACCATCAAGTGATGTAGTTTCGGTTACGAGAGTAATAAACACAATAAATAATATTGTTCTTTTGCGGGGAGGGAAACTAACGAGCCTGCCCAGATAGTATTTGTACAAACACGCGACTCCTTCTCGTACACGTATGACCTTTTTAACGAAAACTGGGTTGCAAATGCAATTATCCTCTAATTGGTAAACTTTTCAATGATTTATTATAGGTTTGCTTAGAACGCGGCTGGAAAGAATACAATGTTGATAATTCCGAGCACTGGAATCTCTGGTGGAGAGCATCCGGATTTCCTGCTAACTATTACAAAAATCTATCCGCCTCTCAAGTAATACCAATCGAAAAGGAGAAATCAGTCAATAATTTACATAATTATTTCAGTTTATAAACCATATACCCAAAGGTTCCTCGATTTGCAGAAAAGATAACTTGGTCAGGAATCTACGTTGCATGAAAAAGATCTACGGTACAATCTATGATTTTAGGTTATATTTATGTTACATAACATAATGTTTGCTATTTAAAATATCCAATATATATATTTTTAGTCCACATGGTTTCAATCTACCCTTGGAATATACGAAACTAGCGGCGGAATGCAATAGAATAAGATTGATCAGTTCTGGCGATGAACTTGAAGGATTCTACGAAGATAAACCAATATGGATTTGCAAACCTGTTGCTCAGAGCCAAGGGCGCGGAATATTTCTATTTAGAGTATTTATAGCAGTAAAACAAAACAAACATTTAACTAGTCTGTTATTTTCAGAAATTAAGTGAACTCAATTACGATACGAACACAATTGTTCAAAAGTATATAGAGAAACCGCTTTTAATCGGTGGTTACAAATTCGACTTGCGTCTATACGTCTGCATCCCTTCGTACCATCCATTAACCATTTACATGTATCAAGAAGGGTTGGTGCGCTTTGGCACTGACAAATTCAGTTTGAATGATCTGAGCAACCCCTACAGGCATCTGACGAACAGCTCAATTAACAAACTGGGACCCGGATACGCTGAAATGAAAGATCGAATTGGCTCGGGTTCGATCCATTCCCTCGCTTTGATTTGTTTTCTTTTATTTGGTTCACGCGTTTTTTATTTGCAGGTTGCAAATGGACCTTGAAACAATTGAGACGATATTTCCAGCAGGCTAAAATTTTCGATTGGTTGCTGTGGCACAAGATTTCTGCTCTGGTGGTATTAACTCTTCTAAGTCACGTTTCTGATGTGCCTCAGACAACAAATTGCTTTGACTTTTTCGGATTCGATGTTCTTATTGATGACCTTTTAAAGCCTTGGCTTTTAGAAGTCAGTATTTTTTTGTAGTAATTATCACGAGATGTAGTGAGATTTCAATTTGATTTATTTAGGTGAATCTGAGTCCGGCCTTAAGCTACGACTGCGACGCGGATAGGGCCGTGAAGAAACCTATGCTGCACGACATGTTCGATCTGCTCGGCTTTCCATTGTACAATACAGGCTTAGACGTTTTCAATATTTTCACGGACGAATGCAAAGAGAACTACAGGTGAATTTTCTTGCAAACGCATTATGAAAAAACTTAAATTATTCTATTTTATATTTTCGTTAGCAACAATCAGCCTCAAGTAGGTCAGGCGGTAGGACGTTGGAAGAAAAAGCAAAGAAAATCTGGTGTGAAACCAAAAACTTCAAGAGCAAACCATCGTAGTAATGAAATGCATCTAATAATTTATACGTACATAACATATACATTTATTATTTCAGAAGATGATAAACCTGTAGAAAAGAACTCTAGGAATTGGGGGAACGATAAGAACTGGTGTCATCCTGCCAATCAAGAGGGTGGATGGATTCGTCTGTGTCCAATTGGAGAATCCACTAATCGGTTTACTTATAGCAACGATAGGGCAGCCATAAAATACAACGTCGCGGAGGTTGCCAATCAGGTCTATAATATTCGCAATCTTTTCTAATTTCATATTTCCAGGTTATTAAATTCACCAGAATTGCCAAAGAAGTATATAAGATCCATCCGCAAGCCTCCGAATGCCAATTAAATGAATTCCTCGTGAACCAGATGGAAATTACCAGCGATCTGTGGATGCCTCCAATCTAAGACGCCGGTGTGCAATGGATTGCACAAGAGACACGATTTATTGCTTCAATTATTTGCCAAAAAAAGAGAAAGACATGTTTACTTCTTATTCCATCCTCTTTACTATTACACAACTATTGCACAATTTACCCGACCAATCTTGCACCGAATTTCTTCATATCCGAAACTCTTCTATTTCCTTTGTTACTCAACTCTTACTATTTTATTATATTTTAAACTTCATTTATTATTATTATTTATATTTCGTTTAAACGTTTTAACTAAATAAAATTAGATTATATTAGCATTTATGCAATTCGTTTGAATAGAGTCCCCATTTCGTAATCACTTTTAAGAAACATGTAAAAATAATTGGAAATTTAAGAATTGTATAGAAATAATTATGAGAATTAAATCAAAATAAACCTTGGGAAAATAGTTAATTTACGAAAACATAATCTAAATATATTGATCAATAGTCCAAAATGGGACTACATTGTTAAATAAATATCTAAATATATGAACATAACATTAGAACAATGTAAGAAACAATTAAATTGAAAGGTTCGAGAACAGTTGAAAAACAATATCTTATTTTTATCTTTCATTTCATATCAATTTAAAGAAATTTGATTATGATATTGTTTAAAATAATAATCATTTTATAGGTTATTGGCGATTACTTATTTAAGTAGAGAAAAGTAAAGGTTTTCTAATTATTTTATGAAAAAATAGTGTTATTTTAAAAACATGCGAGTAAATTATTTTTTATTCTTAGTTTGAAAACGACATTACTTGATTTATCTTCTATTCAGAAATTCTCAGTTATTTAATTTATTCGAATTTTTAATTTAAATATCCCATTATGTAGTATTTATAGATAATAATTATAAATAAACGTAAACATATTTCAACAATTAAATTTATTGATATCATTCTTATAATTACATAATATCATGCTACCAAATGCAACTAATGAAAACGATCATGATTTAAATTAATTGTATCCACTTCATAATAATTTCAAATTGATTTACAATTAATAAAAGTAAAGTTACTAATCGTGCAAGATAAATTACTAGTTTTACATTTTGTTTATTTTGTTTTTTTGTAAAATAAAAATAATATTCTTACTATTTCATATTAATTATAAGCTATTGGTGATGTTTACCATTTATAAGCAGGATAATTACAATAAATTAAGGTCCTTGAGTAATCCGATGTGCAATTATATCAGGCATTTCAAAAATGTTGAGGAATTTAAGTAAGAAATCGTGAATCGCAACAATTTGCTAGAAATAATTATTTATAAAAGTAATTGAATGTTCGCAGAAACGGTTCATAAAATTTTAATTTACACTTAATCCTTGAGATGTTATATTCATATATAGTATTTTGCGGAAATACGCGCACAATGAGTAGATAGTATTATTAGTAATAAACCTAATACAAAAAAAAATCTTGACAGAAAGACGTATGGTCAATAGTCCTTTGAAACAGTATACTTTTTTTGGTTTATGATATTTATATTATTGTATTTTTTATTTTGTAATTTTCTGTTTCAATAAATATTATTATTATTTAAAGAATTTCTTATTTACACTTAATACTGTTAAAACCAATTAATGATTTGTACAAAATTATTAATAATTACAAAAATGTATTGGACCGTTTGGTCATAAAAAAGTAAGACGTACACAAATTAATCCTTGTTCCTTAAACATTGATAGTATGCAACCAAATGATCTTTTATTATAACTTGTATTGAAATTTTAAATGTGTTTTAAAGTAATTTGTAGGTTGGCTGTTGTCTTGTAGGTTTTGCCAAAAGTTGTACTAAATAAGAAAATAACATTTGAGAAGTTAGAAATTAAGTTATCCAGATGGATCAATCAATAGGTTTCGATGAAGACCATGTTAAAAATTTATTAAGTATGATTAAAATACGATTTCAACTCAAAAAATAATCTTTCCATTTCTATTGCGACGAAGTTTCGTTAATCGATATATAAGTGTATTTGTAACGTAAATCTTTAATTTTACCACTCCAAAAAAAATATAATATTTTTAAAAATAAATATATTATATCCAAGTTTTTACTTATGGAACTTCATTCTCCGTTAACTAATTACTGTAGGTTTAACAATAAAATAATTATTATATTATATAATAATAATCTTAAATCAATGCGTTTTGATATATTTAATCGAATTCTTGTTTTATATGGAGTGGCCCATCGGATACGCCGGATTTAGTTTTGATAAAGTAGACATGTTGAGGTTAATTATGGAATACTATGTCAGCTAAATGGGCATACCCTGACCCTTTTGATAAAATTTTCGAAGACTTTTTGCAAGGCAGTTGGCTCAATTTCAGAAATCGTATAGTGAAATATATTCAAAATACACATAATATGTGTAAACAAGTTTTAAAAATGATATAGTAGACTCGCAATCCGTGACTTCTCTTCTCATCGTCACTCGTTATGGGTAACGTTGCTCGTTAAGCGAGTCATTTTTCTTACAATATATTTTGCTCGTTAAGCGAAATGCTCGTTGTGCGAGGTGCTCCTTAAGCTAGGTTCTACTGTATTTATTTTACTTTTGACATCCGTGTCATAGGTTTAGACAAATATATCCTGCTATAGAAAATAATTAGAAACACAAGGATTGAGTAAATGAACAATACATTTAATTTATTTATTTATATTTAATGAACGGCATATTTTTATACAATTTTATATATCTTTTTATTTAATTTTAGAACAATCCAACTAGAAATACTAATAAATAATCAATGGCACCTTAATTACAAATAATTATGCATTACATTTTTTTTGTTTCCTCACGCGCACACAAATATACAATATATATATATTATTTAAAATTGAAACGAAAAAAAATATAGTATAGTTCTTTTTCAGCACTGTACACTTAATTAATAAACGAAAAGACTTAAAAGAAGTTGACTTAACGTTAATCGATAGAAGACATCGATCAAAGCCATTTAGGAATTAGAATTACTTCTAACTAGAAACTAGAACTCCGATTTGCGATTTCGTGTAAATCGCGAATATATGAAGTACATATTCATTTGGTTACATTTTGGTTATTTGGTATGTTAATATAAGTTTTCTGATTTTAATTATTAACAATTACTGGCGCTATTAATTTATAAGCAAAAGAATATTATTATTATTTTACTTTGATTTATATCTAAATATTTTTGTTGTAGATATAATTAGCTTTTGTTTATATTGTGCCCAACGGATTTGCGCACGTCGTTTTCTTTTTAAATTAGCGAGCATGATTCTTGCAGAATGGACGTCCTCCTTTCGCGAAGAAGCTCTGTCCTTCCAAATTCTTCTTGCACATCTGAAAGGAAAGTTAATAAAAAAGCATTACTTGTTTTTCTCAAGTAGAAATGTTGGTTAACTTACAGTGCAGTTGAAACATTGGCTATGGTAGTTATTGTTCAAAGCCTCTACCCAACGATCACCAGCTTCGACTGGGAATCCACAAGCGAAACACTTAGTAGTGAACATTTCATTCCAATCTACAAATAATATAACAATTAATAAAAAATATATTATTATTCCAGGATGCTGATAAAATTACCGGCTTCGCAGTATGGCAAACCATCTTCCAAGAAGAATGGCGAGTTGGCGAACAGTTTACCGCAATGAGTGCAGTTGAAGCATTCTGGATGGAAGTTTCTACCAATAGCTTTCAAACAATCCTATAAGAATATCGTTATAAGTATTTGCTTTAAAATGTAAAAATATAATGCTTACTCCCTTGATTTTGATTCCACATTTGGAGCAGTTGGGCGCCAAATATTGCTCAAAACAATACTCGCAGTGAAGTTGTCCCTTTTCTTCAACGAAACCGATATCCTGGAGTGGCCTCTTGCAAGATGGGGTGGCACAAGTAAAATGATCGGGGCACCAGATTTTGCCCAAAGCAGTTATGAACGGCCCTCTAGATATTCAAAAACATTGTACCATTATAATATTACATAAATTAAATAATATCTGATTAGTAATATTGATAATATGCATACAGTTGAAATTAATTAAATTATTAAATACATGAATTTTAATTAACTAAAATATTTTGCGTTTTTATATAACATGAAGCAATTTCAACTGTATGTAATTATTTAAAAAAATAATAAAAATCACACCTGATAATTGCATCATTGCAAACATTACAAACTGGTATGTCTGTACATGTGTCAGTATTTTTCACGACAGCCTTATTATTGTTAATATTATTGTTATTGTTATTTGCTTCCTGTTTGTTTGCCATTCCAGAAGTTTTGACGGGAAACGTCGTCTCCAGGTAAGTGTTTTTGGAGCAAGTGAACGGCTCGCTAATAGAATCTGTCTCTTTAGGCAGCGTGCTTGATTTGCAAGACACATACGACTCGTTCGAGGAGATCGATGGCGAAATCATTAAGGGTATTGTAACATTAATTTGATTATAGAAGGGCACGTCGGTTGGATCGCCACATTCGATAGTCTTCGATGTTATTTCAACCATGTTATTGGAACACACAATTTCGGTTTCATGCTCTGCCGATAAAAACAACAATATAAAATCGAACGAAAAACAACAAATCAACAAATTAAAGGAAATATTATAATTTTATAAAAATCATAGTTTATTAGTATTATGAAACTGGTGTTAACATGCAAAAAAAGCAAAGCCTTTTAATTTGTACCTAATTTGCTGATGGCAGTGACCACAGAGGGCAAGCCTCGCGCCGACCATTCCACCAACGTTGAGAACGCCGCGTCCCCTTTTTGGCGCAAACACGCTTCCAGTTTGACGACCACTACCTGAACCTACAGAGGGTGCGGGAACATTGGGATTAACATTCAACTTATTAGCTGAAGAAGGGCCGGCACCTGATAGTGGTGGCACGATAGGAACATTGATCTTTGAAGGCATTGGTGGTGGGACCTTCTGAACGGGAGCCGGAGGTGGAACTGAAGCGGGTGCGACATTAGATTTAGATACTTGATATGAAGGTGGTTTAGGAGCTTGAATATTTTGAGTCTTGTGGAACGGCGATACCAGTGGGTGCGGATTCGTTACATGCAGGCCAATAATACCTGGCTGATCATCAACTACTGGTGCGTTCACTTTTTGGAACGGATGAGTTTTTACGCCGGTGGAGCTCTTCTCAATTTCAATAACCTTTTCTTTGTGTGTATGTTCAAATTCCTCTGTGACGGTCTTCTTCCTCTGTATTTGCACGCGATTATCGGCAGACGTTTGAACGCTCTGCACTTCCGATTTGTTCAGCTGTTGCAATTGTTCGGCCTTTGATTTTTCAGAAATCGCAACAGTCTGGTTTCCCTGCTGGCTCAAGCTGTGCTTTTCCGCGCTCGCAGCTAAATATTCTTGTGCTCTGTAGTCTTTCTGCTGATAGTTAGCTTGCACCATTTGCTTCGACATTTCCGATTTTGCGGCTAATGCCCTTTGAGCTGCCTCGTAGCTTTGCAATTGACTCATTTGACTATGATCAGCTTGATACTGTTGCTGCATCTTGTTGCTACAAGTTCCGGTTGGTGCGACTGAAACACTTTGACCAGCACTTTCGTGCTGCTGGATTTGTTGCAATTTCTCGCGGTGCTGCGGAATGTAGCTAGTGACGCTCTCCTTTGCTTGCTCTTTTTTAATATCTCTGAAGGAATCGGTAGCAGTTGAGGTATTCAATACGTGAAGTGGATTCGGTGGAGGCCCTGGTGCTGGAGATTTTGGTCTCGGTGAAGACTTACGGAACGGCGAAACGCTACGTTGACCACCAGGACAAGGACTTGGAGAGCGTGAAACTGCTGGACTCTTGGGATCGTATAGACACACCTCCGGAGCCAAAAACTCTGTAGCTACTAAATTCTGTTGATAATATGGTATAGCAGAAGGAGGTTTATTAATCATGCTCGGTGTTGCTGGTTGAGCAACTCTCTGCGAAAACGCACTGTTCGGAGGAGTAAAATCTTCATGCACAGGTTGGAAGCACGACTGACTTATATTAGGATTCTGTTGACCAGGCATTATTGTTGTAACAGGCTTAATTATTGGATCTTTTGGTTTGTTTGGATTCAGCAATTTATTAATATTTTTGTGATGCGGCAATTGAATTTCTTCCGCGTATTCCAATGATGTTTGATACTGGGGCAGGTATTCCGACTTGTGAAGTTGAGACGCCACATTCAATGGTTTCTTCATTATCACTTCCTCAGATTGTCTAGCTATTTCCTCTTTTTTCACTTCAGCAAATTGCTTGCTTTTCGATTGTACTTCCATTTCTTGCTTCATTTCACGGTGTTCCATTCTTTCCTCTATATGAGCGTAACTTTGTCTTTGTTCGTAGCTTTCTTCACAACTTTGTTGGAGCTCAACAGAAACTGGCGGGAAATGACCTTGCACAGAACGGTTGTCATCTCCTTCAAACGTATTTACCATGGTTGAGATGAAAGGTTTTGGAGCTTGCGGTTGCTTTATGCACGCCTTTCTACATTCCCAAGCTTGTTCTTTTTTTACTTGTTCCTCTTTTTCCTTTATTTGCATTGTCTGGAATTCAGTAATGAAAGGTGAATATGTCCTTTCCGAAGCGGTAGTTAATGCAGAAAGCATTGATAATTTCTCTTGTGACTTCGGTAAATCTTTTAACAATGGATCAGGCGCAGGTTTCTTCTTCCTTGTGGGAGCTCCACCGACTGGAGTGAACGGTCTATCCGGGGCAGTTTTAAGAGCCTCAACAAACGGTGATGCAGCTACTTCTGGCCGTGTTTCTTTGACTTTAGGTTCTGCCGGTATAATAGGTCTCTCGGGAGGTAAATATGGAACAGTTTCTTCGGGTAGTGGCACCGGATCTTTGGAGTACAGTAGGCCAACTGGATTAAATGGTTCACTTGGAGCAATGGAGAGTGCCGATGCCAGAGCAGTTGTTGAATGTTTCTGAGGTATCTGCGATAAATTATCCGGGGTTATGCAGTACGGTCTATCGGGAGTTGTCCGAAGTGCTGAGACCATGGTAGATTCCCATTTCTGTGGTATCGCATTCTGAATTTTTGATTTACCTTCACATTTCTTTTCGTAATCGTGTGGCAATTTTAGGTCAGCCGGTTCTTTCATGGGACATGTCTCGCATTTCTCGTTACAGCAAGATTTGTTGCATGGACAAATCGAGGCAACGAGTATACCAGACTGTTGTTGAGATTTCGCCTGTTCAATTTTGGCCTGTTCTTGAGCCTCTATTTCTTTCCTCGTCGGAATCACATTTACGTCGAGCGGCGGCGGTGTTTTCGGTCTGGTTTTCATAATACTTTCGACCAGCATCTGCGTTTCCAAATGTTCAGCAATTGTTTCAACGCATTCCACTGCGCTTTTTCTTCCAGTCAAATGAGAAATTTCGGAAGAACATATTGACATCTTCGGATCCATAGTTAGCATATAGTTGTTTACCTCTTCTAGTTCGGAATAGTCTTTATCGAAGTCTTTGGGTTCAGGTAATTTAACTTGGGAAGGTGGAGGGAAATATAGAGGAGAAGCAGTTGGTAAGCCGGATTCTTCTTCTTGTACAGGAGGCCACACAATATTGTGGACAATTTGTCCTTTTTCTTTAGATACATAAACACAAAAAAACAAAGACAACGCCCAAGAAAAAAATGTAACAAAACGAACGTGTTTAACGCAAACAAGAGGAATTAAATAAGGTGGTGAGAAAATAAAATAAAAAAGATTAAAATAAGCGATCAAAAGCGTTAATCATAAAGAAGAAAAAAAACTTGTAATTTGCAATTTAAGATTCTCCCAGGATTTTCGGTTAAATGAAGCTGAAGCAAATAAATTAACTAAACTATTTAAGTACAATTGATAATTTTAATCGGATACTAGGGAAAAGGGTCTTGGTTTGGTATTGAAAGAATTATAATCTGAAACAACAAAGAACAGAGAACGAAGAAATAATAAAATAAGAAGCGGACAATTTACAGACAGTACGGGAAAAGTCTTAGTTACAAGTTACAAGCATGTCATAATTTGTCCCATATGTAACAAAGGAAATAAATTAAATATCTGTTTAAGAAAAAAAAGAAGCAGTTTTAAGCCCTTGAACTCAGTGAAATACCTTTATGCATGCCCCCAGCAGGCTTTGCAGTAAAATAACCTAAGAGAAAATCGTCACTTTCAATTTGTTCTTTTATAACCAAGTGATATTTTTTTTAATAAAAAATGTTTACTAGATATACTGGGCAGACCAGATGAATTGAAAAAATTACCTGGTGTTGAGGTTAGAGCTGGTGCTTGAGGGGCCGGAATAAGGGCCGGAGCTACTGGGGCTTTTGGTAAGGGCTTCGAATAACTGTTCGGCGACAATGGAGCGCTAACACTGGCGAAGGGTTTTGGAGCCGAAGAAAAGTTGGGTACACCCTATATTTTAAAGAAAAAAAGTAATTAAATTATATTATATATTATATAGGAATATAAAATATGGCTAGACAAATAAAACTCACCTTCTTCGGAAACGTATTATATGGCGTTGATAGCGTGCCGGTGGTAGTACAAGGACTTGTTTTGTTATTAATTAGGAGGTCTTTTGGGTTAGCATTGCTTTTCTTGCTCGCTGCTATTGTTAGACTTTTTAGTAACATTATGTCAATCGGATCATCGTTTACGTCGACTTTCTTTGGTAAATCATCGTCAACTGTCTAAAACGAGTGTAGCATGTGCGTTTTCATAAAAAAAAACATCAAACCGTTCAACATTCCAAAATGTTACCTGGAAAGGTGTCGCAGTGAAATTGGTGCTAGGCGACAAAGGGCTGGCCTTTGGCGACTGCGGACTTGGAGATGGGAACGAATGAGAAGTTAACGCTGCAGAAATTGTTCCAGCTGGAGCTCTACCACCCCTAATAAAAGACATTCCATGTATAAGGAACCATCTCAAAACAATCTGCAGAACAGTATACTTACGGTGGTACAGTGACTGGCACCAAGTTCGCACCTGGAGGATTGGACCTTGCAGCAAGCTTGGCGTGGATATCGCAGTACAATTTATTATTGATGTTGTAATATCTGAAACGCAATACATATAAAGATATTCGTCGTCTTCCAAAGGTTAGATAAATAAACATACCCGACGTTCTTGAGAGATGCACCGCAGGTGGAGCACTTGAAGCACTCTACGTGCAAATTCTTGTCCTTGATTCTGACAAAAACACCACTGCAATTTAAACAAAAAAACAAACAACTCAGATCTGCCAAATACTCAGGCGCATCGGTGAATATAGCATCACTGAATAAATACACAAATCAAATACCAAATTTGTTTGCTAAACCTCGGTTAGACTTTGTTATGATCGAAATAGAGAATATTAGAACCCGATCAAAATATTTTATCAAGCAATCACTTGGCAATAACTTAACGAAAATAAAACTTAAAATAAACAAATTCGTTCTTTTCTCAGTGTATTCAATACGTATTGATTAATTTCCAACTAAATATTTGTAATAATTTTCCAAACATTCAAAGGTAATGAATCAATTCGTATTAATGGGGACATAAATAAATGAAAGATCTAAAAATACCAATCCTAGAAGAGACTAATGTGGAACAAAAAAAAGAGTCCTGTTTCGGCGGTACTCAAATTTTTGTTTGAAATGAAGACATAGTTAAATCATGTAGAAAATAAACAAAACAACGCTACCCACTAACTGAAGTATTTTCAAGCGACTATATCTTTTTTTGCACAAAAAAATGCATTCCACTACTCGCAGTTACAATCAAAATAGATTGCTATTATTCCAGATATTAAGTTCAAGTTTTTGTATTGGAGATATCATATATATTTTTTTTCTATTTCGTAGGTGGCGTTATTTTGATTGCGTAAAAAGATGAGAACGTGCACTAGTAGAATGTGCTAAGAGACATATAGCCCTAAATAAGTTGTAAATGAGAGATAAAAAAATGACACAGGTGCAATCAACAACATCGACCCCAAAACAGTATTTTGGGACTTACACAATGACCCTTTCACAGTCTGTACACCTGGTCAATTCGTGTTCAATACTACTCGGCCGATCTGCAGTCGTTCGACTGGTTGTATTGCGACCGCCAATGGCGTGACTGTGTTTGGAGTAAAAATCGGAACGGTTTACTGTGAAGAGAGAGAGAAAAAACAAAATTGTACGTCAAAAATCAAAAACTATAAAAGGTTTAAGCCTTGAGAAAATCTGTGGAATCTGCGTGCGACATCTCGATGCTCCTACCTATATTATTCGTGCGTGTTGAAGGAAAAAAAGTAAATGCTCATTTTTGAGAAGCAAGTCGAGGGAAGATTTTCTACTTACACAATCAAACGCTCGCAATCGGCGCAGATGTTTTGGCCCGGTGGAAGCTGTGGGGTCGGCGGAGTTGGCTTCGTCTCTGGCGCCTGGACGTGCTTTAAACCTACTAAACCACCCAACGGGGCAGTAACTACGCCCGAGTCTAGATGGTCTAAATATTGCATTACATAATATTCAATTTTAAGATACAAAAAAGCGGAAACAGATTTAAAGAATGCCAACGGAATTTAACTGTTAAATTTTCAAAAAATATAAGCATTGTCCTAATAGCTTAAAAAAAGTCCCATTGTAGTTTAAAATTTAAAAAAACATATATTGAATACTCAAGTAGATTTTGTTTCAGTGTAGATGAGGTCAAGGAATTTATGTTAGATGATAAAAAGGATATTTAGTAGTAGCTCGGATTGTAACAAATCTTCTGAATAATGGAATTGATCTTATTTGTTTTACTTATTGATTAACATTATCAATAAATCGCGCTTTTCACATTTTATTATTGTATTGAGTTTTTTATTTTACAATTTGTTGTTGCAATAAATATTATTATTATTTATGAAAAATGTTTTATGTAAAGAAATAGTCCTAATTATAATCCTAATATTGAAATGAAATTAGTAGATAAGAACTAAATATTTCTGAATTTTAATTATACACATAAAGTACACATACATAATTTGTTTAAAAATATCCATCACATCATTAATAATAATAATAATAATAACGGTACAAAAGGCGATGGATCGAGGTCTTTCAGCATATTTTTAATTATATAATTTCAACGGTTATATTCATTAAAGTAATTGGCAGATGCTAAAGTCGAAAAAAATATTACTTTTACTGTCTGTAAGTTTGCCAACTTTATTTCGAGCAATAATTGTAATGGCCAAATTCTATTTATCGTTTACTATTATAAACTTACAGCAATGAAAATTATACATACATAGGGATTTTGAGCGCAATATTTTTGCACAATTATTAAATTATTTATATACGAATTAAATGTTTACTAATATTACCATTAGTAGATCAATATTAATAATTAAATTCAATTGAATACATCAGTATTGAACAAGAAGATTTTTCAAAATTAAGGAAAGAAGGATGGATGAATGTGAATTGTTTTTCGTATGGTGTGAAACATCAATAAAAATATAACATGCCATTTGGGACTTAACAACAACAACAACAAAATAGTAAATTACAAAAACCTGCTTCGTTTAAATGGGTGGAGGAGCGGAGCCGCGAATAAATTAAATTTTGAACCTCGGTTTCTTTTATGTTACAAAGATACAAACACCTAACGATGGGATTTTTAATGCGAGGTAGCACTAGAAATAAATTGGTGACTAGCATTAATCGAATGCAAAAATATATAATGAATGAGAGAGAGAGATTGATGTTGAAAATAATAATAGAGCTAAATGTGAGTCGCATCTGTGTTCTAATAAAATTACCTGGCTCAGGTTCTCTTGGCTCCTTTTCAGCTTCTTGGAGCATGTGGTAAACGGCACTCTTGGATGCATCGTATCCTTTCTCGTTCTTCTTAAAGTTAACACTATACATATATTAATAATGATTGAAGTTCGTCGTCGGTCATTCTGTGTAAGGTCTTACCCTAAAACGCCAGTAGAAAGTACTTCAGATTGAGCGGAGAGGGTTTCGGCAATGCTCTCTTCAGAATAAAGACCAACTGGTGTGTTATACTGCTTGTTGACTAGTTTAGGTGCGCCATTAGTAGTACCGTTCAACTAAAAAATGTTGATCAATTTGATAACCTCGATCACTTTACAGAAGAAAAGTATGATTGGCTTACGAAAGGTTTAGCGGCGACGTTGTGACCAGTGCCGATAGCTCCGATGGATGGTTGTGGCTGTGCAGCCAAAGAGGTCTTGGTGACAGGTGATACGTTGTTGATGCTTGCAGTTTGAGCTGGGAACGTTCCGGTCGGTGTGACTGACGGTTTCCAAGTGGAGCCTCCCCTGCAAAAGACGTGATCGAGTTGTAATTATAAACCGTGGCAACAATTCAATTATTTGTGTACTATACCTTTGTACGGTGATTGCAAAAGATGGGCCAGCTTTTATTATTACATCCTGAGCGTCCTTGTGCCTCAAGTTGAAAACATCAGTGTTGTTTATCTTCACTACGGCGTCGCCGGCAATAAGACCAGCACGATCGGCAGGGGATCCACCATTGACCTAACAATCATAGAAACATCAACATAGTCAATTGGTAAGGATAAATCTTTTTATGGATTAATACAAATATTTATTCATATAAAACAGTTAGTAACAATCATTTGATAGAGCCTTGGCGCATTCTCCGAGCATTCATCAGCTTCTCCCGCAAATCTAATATTTCCTCGTTCTCTTGCAATTTCACTTCCACTTTCTTCTCTTTCACTTTAGTGGCTTTAGCCTCGTCTATAAAATTCCTGATATTT